CATCATCCCTACTAACCTCCAACCCCAAGGACTTCCCCAATGCCACAATGGATTCCTCAACTGGCATAGGATTCCCAGGGTTAGCCTCAAACCCTTCAAAATCCCTTTTGTCTACACATTCTGGCCACAGAATGTGTAGAGTTCAAGGTCCTCTTAGTCACTCCCTCCCAAGCCTTACCTATAAGGTTTACACAACTGAGGATATTAAAGTGATCCTTCCAAAACTCTCTTAGAGTCAATTGAGTTTCTGAGGTCACTACAAAGCACCTTTCAAACATAGCTTTTGTGTACAGTTTTTTGAAGTTTGCAATAACCTGCTGGTCCATGGGCTGCAGGAGAGGAGTGGTATTAGGAGGCAAAAACTTCACCTTAATGAAGCTCATGTCCCCATAAAGTCACTCTGCCACGTCTGTAGGATGACCAGGGGCATTGTCTAACACCAGGAGGCACTTAAGGTCTAATTTCTTTTCAATTAGGTAATTTTTCACATCGGGGGCAAATGCATGGTGTAACCAGTCATAGAAAAAGTCCCTAGTGACCCATGCCTTACTGTTTGCCCTCCACAGCACACACATTATTATTATTATAATCAAGGGGGAAGCGCTAAACCCGGAGGATTATACAGCGCCTGGGGGGGGGGATGTGGAAGGCATTCAGGCTTAATTCAGGGAACTGGAGCACAGATCCAATTCCCTAAATCATGAGCCCCTCACCAACATCAAGGAACCTTCCTTGAGGGGCACAGCACACACAAATTAGCCTTGAGGACATTCTTTTTCCTGAACACTCTGGGAGTTTCAGAGTGATACACCAATAAAGGCTTCACTTTGCAATCACCACTAGCATTGGCACACATCAACAGAGTAAGCCTGTCTTTCATAGGCTTATGTCCTGGGAGTGCCTTTTCCTCCTGAGTAATGTAGGTCCTGCTTGGCATTTTCTTCCAAAACAGGCCTATTTCGTCACAATTAAACACTTGTTCAGGTTTCAGTCCTTCACTGTCTATGTACTCCTTGAATTCCTGCACATATTTTTCAGCTGCTTTGTGGTCTGAACTGGCAGCCTCACCATGCCTTATCACACTATGTATGCCATTACGATTCTTAACCCGTAAATGGTCCAAGCAGATCTACGTTCACATGTGTAGTGCTACAAAAGTAGATCTAAGTTTTTTTACATATTTTCAAATATAACAAAAAAAAAAAAAGTAGATCAAAGTTTTTTACACATTTTCAAATGTAGAAAAACAAAAAGATGATCTACTTTTTTTACATGCTTTCAAATGTTGAAAAAACGTATATATACGTTTGGACCGTTTACGGGTTAAATCTTTCAAACCAACCTTTGCTGGCCTTAAATTCACTCACATCACCACTAGTTGCAGGCAATTTCTTTACCAAATCATCATGCAACTGCCTAGCCTTTTCACAAATGATCGCTTGAGAGATGCTATCTCCTGCTATCTGTTTTTCATTTATCCACACCAATAACAGTCTCTCAACATTTTCTAACACTTGCAGTCGCTGTTTCGTAATCACAGTTGCACCTTTTGCAAGAACAGCTTCCTTGATTGCCGTTTTCCTGGTCACTATAGTAGAGATGGTTGATTGGGGTTTACTATACAACCTGGCCAGCTCCGACACACGCACTCCACTTTCGTACTTTGCAATTATCTCTTTCTTCGTTTCAATAGTCATTAGCACCTTTTTTCTCGAAGGGTTGGCACTAGAAGCTTTCTTGGGGCCCATGGTGACTTATTTTGCAGAAACAAGCACCAAAAACAGTGATAATGTGGAATGTACCAAATGTATCCTTAGATGCGCGCACATTGGCTGGCTTGAAAAACACGGCACACACGGGCATTTAGGCCAATGGGGACACGCTCGTATGAATCGCATCGATACCGGGGGCAAAATTTTTGCGAAAATACACGAATACCGGATTTATCAAATTTCCGTGCCATCAAAATCCGGGGGGCCCTTTTGTATAATTTTAGAGAAATTACACTGGACATAAAAGGAATCGCTTTTGTCTATGAAATTAGTATGCATGTCGAGGATGAATTTCTCCCCAGACTGTGTCAGCGCTGACAATCCCCTGACCTGTCCCTTCCTCTAATACTCATCAGTAATCACCCAATGTCGTTTTTTTTCGACACGACAAGTAATGAAAACCCCCAATTTTTTTTGTAGATACTTTTCAGATCGCCCTCATAAAAGGCATGTTTAGCCATTGCAGAAAAATTTCGATCTGCCCAAAGGATAACATTCGCATTGTAATTTTTGAAAATATATATACCCTTCCTAGAATCCGTGGGTGCATGAATACAATCGATCGATTTTCCATCCTTTTTATACCATCATTTGTCCTTTAATTCGTAATGCATTACTTTTAAACCCATTTTGTTAAATCCATTACGTTCCCCTCCTTTAGTTCAAATTTACAATGTCCTTCCCATTGTATAAACAGCCCAGACCCACCTCCTGTTCACCCCATAGCTGTATTGTTTCGAATAACATTACGAACATGCCCGAGCTTCACTAGTTTTCTGTTTCCCTTATTATATGTTATCTGAGCATATAGTACCATCCATAGTTTTCATAAGCCCCTTGCTAGGTTTTAGTGACTAGCTGTGGACTCATGTGATCCGCAGAGTGCGTGGATCCTCCCTAGGGCCCTTTTTCCCGGTCCTAGCAGGCAACAGGGCAGGCATTTGGGCCTCCCTTAACACAGTCTGCAATTAAGCGTTAACACCCAACGACTTGTGTTTAACTCCCAAACACTATCTCCACGAACCCCCCTCAACACAGGAGGGGGTTGGGGCCTAGGGGGGTGATGCTCAGGGTGAGAACCTGATGGGGGTTTGAGTGCTCAGGGGGAACCTGTGGTGGGGGGAGTGCCAGGGTGGAACCCGAAGGGGGATGAGTCCAGGGGGGAGAACCCGATGGGTGGGGGAGTGCCAGGGGGATTATTATTATTATAATCAAGGGGGGGGCACTAAACCGTAGGGGTTTTACGCCCATGGGGGGGTGGAAGGCATTTAGGGTTAATTTAGGGGAAATGGAGCACAGATCCCAAAGGGGGCACAGATCCAACGGAGCACAGATCCCAAATTTCCCCAATAAGACCCCCCACCCCCGTCAAAAAGGGCCCCTTTCCCTTTAGGGGTGTGCTCAGGGGGAAACCGAGGTATGGATGCTCAGGGGAGAACCTGATGGGGGGTGGAAGTATTGTGGGGAGTACAGATGGGGTGGAATGCCTTTGGAGAGTAAAATGGGTGTGGAAGTGCCTGGGAGGTACATGGAGTGTGGAATTTCTTGGGGGAGTACATAGTGGGAATATTGGAGAGTACATAATGAGTTGGAAGTGCCTGGGAATACATAAGGGTGTGGAAGTGTCTGGGAGAGTACATGATGGTGTGGAAGTGCCTGGGAGAGTACATGATGGGGAAGTGCTCTGGGGAGTCATGAGATGTGGAAAACTCTGGGAGAGTACATAATTAGGGGGAAGTACTCTGGGAATAAAAAAATGGGGGGTTTGGGAAATAAAATCTGGAGAGTACATATGGGGGTGAAAGTACCTGGGGAGTACTAATGGGGGGGGAAGATCTGGAAGGGGACTAATGGGGGTGGAAGTGCTCTGGGGGGTACATGTGGGGTTTGGGAAATATCGGGGGAGTACATAATTGTGTGGAAGTAATCTGGGAGAAAAATTGTGGAAATACTCTGGGAGAGTACATAATGGTGTGGAATGCTTGGGAGATACATGATGATGTGGAAGTCTCTGGGAGAGTGCAGGGTGGTAAAAATCCAGAGATGGGTTTTGGGTTAAAGGATTTCTGAGAGAATTAGGGGATGTAATATCTGAGAGATGGGTTAGGGTGATGATAATATCCAACAGATAGGGTTGATGGTAATATCCGAGTGATGGTAATATCCGAGAGATGGGTTAGGGTGATTTGTAATATCTAAAATCGTTTGGTCTATCCACTGAATCAGTCACTCTGAACGTGAATAAAAGCAACTGTTAACATAGTGTGTGGGCAGACAAGGGGTATCGCCAAGACTTCCCAATAAACAATGGTGTTGCTTGCTGTGCCCAAGCCAAGACAGTGTGGAAATTTGTTAAGTATGCACCCACCTGGATTTCTGGCATCTCTCTTCAGCCACTGACAAACTTCTCACTTTTTCTGGGGATTGTGCAGCACAGATCAATGACATACATTTAAGATTTTTCGTTCCAGTCTTGTAGATGTTGTGCTATACAGAACTCGTTTTAGTCAAGGTTTACAGCATTATATAAATTGGGAAAGCTCCAAACCCATAGGGGTCAAACAGTGAATGTGGGCATGGGTAACATTTATGCTCAATACAAGGAAAAGGATAAGGCCAATCCCTTGGATCAAGAGCCCCTCAACTGCATCATGGCATCTCCTTTTAGGGAAATGGATGAAGGAGGTTGAAGTGTTATACAGCACCTGGGGGGGAATGGGAGGAACTGAAACAGAGATGACTGGGGCTTCCGCATCCAGAAAGTATGAGTGATCATGTTTGATCGGAGTGAGTGATACAAGTGGATCTGTGTTTGATGAACAATTGGAGTGTGAACAAAGGTGAGTGAGTGTGAAGGGATTCAGGGAAACCTGTTAGCTGGACTTGATACCAGAGACGGGAAACACAATGTTGGTACAGGAGAGCTGGAGATACTGCAACATAAGTTTATCTGAACTGTGATTATTCACACATTTCAAGCAAGACTGCTATTGAAAGAATGACAGTGAGTGTGTTTCCTTGTTTATTTGGTTCCCAACCTTGGTGGAATACTGCCAATGCACTAAAAAAATTACAGCATTAAGCCTTTAAATATTTAGAACATCTATACACCAGAAAAAAATCTTCAAGGCATGTCTGACCTATGAAGGAAATTTCAAGATCACACAATAAAATTATAAACATTGTCAACAGATTTGTATTACTGACAACAGGAGAAATGAAAACTAATTATGGAATTTGGCCTTTTTTTACTAAACAGCTCCTCAGTGACAAATCTTCTGCAAGATTCAAAAAATAAGTATAGAACTTATAAAGCAAATAAACATAATAAAATACTGCTCTTAATACCTTTTGCTAAACTCACATATCCAATATTGAGCACAGCACACACGCATCTCGTAAATGGTGGATAATGCATATATAAAAGCCTATTTACTTTTGAGTGTTATGCCTATATACATGTGGGTTTAACCACATAATTAGCGATTGAATTGACCCATCATGTTTCCACTGAATCCACCTTGTCTACCTCCAGGTCCTGCCTGCATTCCACCCTGCATGCCTCCTGGACCAGACTGCATACCTGCTGGACCTCCTTGCATTCCCCCTGGTCCAACTTGAATACTACCAGGGCCTTGTATGCCTCCTGGTCCACCCTGCATGCCACCTCCTGCCATAGCCATACCCTGCATGCCTCCAGGGCCACCACCCATCTGTCCACTCTGCACAGCTGATGGTCCACCCTGCATTCCTCGTGGTCCAGCTTGCATCATCCCTCCAGCCATAGAGGTCATGGGCTGCTGCATGTGGCTTGGTTGCATACCTCCTTGCATGTTCTGCATACCCTGTGGTCCCATAGGTCCCATAGAGCCAAGCGTTGGTTGCATATGTCCTACAGCAGACACTGGTTTTGGTCCACTGAAGTGTGCTCCCGAAGACATTGTAGAAACCATGCTAGGGTTGCTGAGTGTGGCCACGTTGGTGGTGGCAGTACCTGTGGATGAGGAGATCATGCTCTGTGACATCGTAGATGCCATGGACGACTGGACTGTTGGTGTTGTTCCAGAAGAACCAGGAGTGTGCGGAGAGGCCATGTGAGGAGACGTCAAATGGGGCGACCCCAACGACTGAGGTACAGAGCCCCCTGAGGATGTGGGTGTACTCTGGCCTACTGACGATGGTGGAGTAGCTACGGCATTACCATCGGGACCCAGACTCAAGCTGCACAGCAACTCTCGAATGCACGGATAGAGACACATCTCATTGGGCTGTACAATGGCACGGCTCATGATATCATTGATGACCTGCACAGTAATGCTAGGAATGTTGCCGTGATCACGGCGCTCTGCCATCTGGGTCTTGTTGCTCACACTGTCGTATACCAATGGCAGCATTAAATTTGGAGGCTCTGTCTCGGGTGGTAACTGCACATTGATCCTTGTTAACTGGAACTAAAAGAAAGTTATTTCAGTACAAAAGTAAAAGTATAACAGTATGATGCATTCCAGGTGCCTGGCAAACTACAAGTTTGGTACTATGATCACTACAGGTTTGGTACTATGATCACTACAGGTTTGGTACTATGATCACTACAGGTTTGGTACTATGATCACTACAGGTTTGGTACTATGATCACTACAGGTTTGGTACTGTGATCACTACAGGTTTGGTACTATGATCACTACAGGTTTGGTACTATGATCACTACAGGTTTGGTACTATGATCACTACAGGTTTGGTACTGTGATCACTACAGGTTTGGTACTGTGATCACTACAGGTTTGGTACTGTAATCACTACAGGTTTTATACTCTTCCTCGGTAATATTACAATAATTATGTAGGAGTGTTGATTCAAGGAACTGGAGTTGCTGTATCCTCCTCTTCATCAGATTAAAAAAACTATCCTTTCTTACATCAAATTCCAAGGAGCTCTCATATGTTTGAACATTATAACATAGTAAAAAAGGGGGTCAATCCCACATTAAAGGGTGTGACTTTATTGCTAGGTTTTGCTTATTTTTACGTGATGGTGTTCTAAGATGGAGAGATAAGCTACAAAATACCTCCCTCAAAGAATATATTTTCTTCTTTCAACACACCGGCCATATCCCACTGAGGAAGGCTGGCCCAAAAGGAAAAACAAAACTTTCTCGTTTTAAATTTAGTAATACAACCTCTCCTCACTTAGCAACGTACTTGTTTACCGACGCCTCAGACTTACGACAGGCTCTCTGGCCAGTACACATACCTAAATAATGTATATTAGAGTTGATTTCCTCTAATCTCTTTATTACAATATACAGTACACTACTGTATAAACATTTAAAAAATACCAGAAATGTTATAAATGGTGCAAAGGTGACATTAAAACAATATCAAAGATGGTTCACACAAACCCACTACCATTATGGTATGCTTCTCAATTAGCAACAAATTCATTTATCGACATGGTCTTAGGAATGGAACTCCGTCGTTAAGTGAGGAGAGGCTGTACATACAGAAGGGGTTACTAACCCCTTGCTCCCAGCATTTTAGTCACCTCTTATGACATGCATGGCTTATGGAGGAAGAATTCTGTCCCACTTCCCCATGGAGATAAGCAGAAATAAACAAGAATAAGAACCAGTAAGAAAATAGAAAAAAACCAGAAGGGTTGTATATGCATGTGTAGTGTGACCTAAGTGTAAGAAAAAGTAGCAAGATGTACTTGAAATCTTGCATATTTATGAGACAGAAAAATGACACCATCATGTAAAACAATCACAGGTTTCTGTTTTACACTCACTTGGCAGGACTGTAGTACCTCCCTCGGTAGTTGCTATCTACCATCCTACTACCTAGGAATGAATATACAGGTCCTCCATCACAAATTCGGCATCATTGAGACCTGTAGTGTGCCGGATTACTGAGTTTGCCAGATTACAGAGTAGTTAGGTTAGAATACACTTAATAAAATTAACCAACTTGACTTACACAGTTCACTGAACATCGGCAAAAATCGAACATTTCCGCTACTTTGAGCTCAATTTCAAGGTACTTTTCGTCATGAAAGCAATCAAAATCATGTCTATTTCTGTAATATATCTTCCATTCTATCAAATGAGTCCAAAAAAATGAGAATACAACCATAAAAATCATACAAAAATATACTGAAAAGAGGCGGCTAATGGCTGAGAAGTTAACTCCCTTATTTATCGTCCGTCTTTTTTATTTTTGTTGTACGTTAAGAAGCATCTTTCCACCATACACTGCCCAATTTTCAATGAGATAGCCCAAAAAACAACTGAGAAAAAAAAATATTTACCAAAAATCATATATGGCAAGCCAAGCCAGGTACTAGAAATAAGTCACTTTGTCTGACTTTTCTGGGTGTTATCCTAGGTTCTCTATACATATGCTGCTATGTATGATAGTCTATGTAACTGTATTTGTGTATATCTGAATAAACTTATTCACTTCTAGTCTGTCAACTGAGAGCACGAAACCGCCCATTCACTTATTTCAACTACCCAATAAAGTGGTCAGAAATTGGCAATTTGGCCGATTTCACACAAATTTCAACAGATGCCAATTTCAAAATAGTATCCAGAATAAACAATGCAGACATTCCTGGCACTAAAATAACATTTTCTCTGTTCATTAGTCACGGCTACAGGCCCCTCTTATACAGTGGACCCCCAGTATTCGATATTAACCCTTTCAGGGTCCGTCCCGTAGATCTACGGCTTTACGTTCAGGGTCCAAACCGTAGATCTACGTCATGAGCTCAGTTCCCTCTGATAAACTGTGAGTGGTACATTTGGGCCTAGATATGAGAGAATACATCTATGTGGTATTTTTGCACCACATAAAACAAATCCTGCAGCACACTGTGTATAATGAGAGAAAAAAAAAACTGAGACCATGATTTTCGATTAAAACAGCGACTTTGCAGTGTTTTTTCGTATGTTTTTTATAGTTATATTTGCGATTTCTTGGTCTCATTTGATAGAATGGAAGACATATTACAGGAATAGAGATGATTTTGATTGGTTTTAGCACTGGAAATGGCTTGAAACTGAGTTTACCTGGAGTTTACCTGGAGAGAGTTCCGAGGGTCAACGCCCCCGCGGCCAGGTCTGTGACCAGGCCTCCTGGTGGATCAGAGCCTGATCAACCAGGCTGTTGCTGCTGGCTGCACGCAAACCAACGTACGAGCCACAGCCCGGCTGATCCGGAACTGACTTTAGGTGCTTGTCCAGTGCCAGCTTGAAGACTGCCAGGGGTCTGTTGGTAATCCCCCTTATGTGTGCTGGGAGGCAGTTGAACAGTCTCGGGCCCCTGACACTTATTGTATGGTCTCTTAACGTGCTAGTGACACCCCTGCTTTTCATTGGGGGGATGGTGCATCGTCTGCCAAGTCTTTTGCTTTCGTAGTGAGTGATTTTCGTGTGCAAGTTCGGTACTAGTCCCTCTAGGATTTTCCAGGTGTATATAATCATGTATCTCTCCCTCCTGCGTTCCAGGGAATACAGGTTTAGGAACCTCAAGCGCTCCCAATAATTGAGGTGTTTTATCTCCGTTATGCGCGCCGTGAAAGTTCTCTGTACATTTTCTAGGTCGGCAATTTCACCTGCCTTGAAAGGTGCTGTTACTGTGCAGCAATATTCCAGCCTAGATAGAACAAGTGACCTGAAGAGTGTCATCATGGGCTTGGCCTCCCTAGTTTTGAAGGTTCTCATTATCCATCCTGTCATTTTTCTAGCAGATGCGATTGATACAATGTTATGGTCCTTGAAGGTGAGATCCTCCGACATGATCACTCCCAGGTCTTTGACGTTGGTGTTTCGCTCTATTTTGTGGCCAGAATTTGTTTTGTACTCTGATGAAGATTTAATTTCCTCATGTTTACCATATCTGAGTAATTGAAATTTCTCATCGTTGAACTTCATATTGTTTTCTGCAGCCCACTGAAAGATTTGGTTGATGTCCGCCTGGAGCTTTGCAGTGTCTGCAATGGAAGATACTGTCATGCAGATTCGGGTGTCATCTGCTCAAAGTAGTGGAAATGTTAAATTTTTGCCGATGTTCAAGAGTAAACAAACGACCTCACACATCTAATACACACCAGCTGGTGAGTCTAAAATACATTCACAAATGTGGTGATGATATTTATGCAATTATTACAATATTGCATAACAGTAAATCTTCTGTTTTTTGGTGTGAATAAAAATTCATTATGTGAATAAAAAACCAAAATGGAATTTATTTGTAAAGCCTCAAAACATAACTAATGAACAGAGGAAATGTTAGTTTAGTGCCAGGAATACCTACATTGTTTATTCTGGACCCTATTTTGAAATTGGAATATTTTGAACTTTGTGTTAAATTGGCCAAATTACCAAATTCCGATCACTTTATTTTGTAGTTGAAACAGTTGACTTGGGGATTTCTTGTGCTCAATCGATAGAATAGAAGTAATACTAGTGAAATAGCTAAGAATTTGGCCAACTGGAATAATGTAATTGGCCTAAAATGGGAGTCAAAGTCGGCAAAATCGCCGATTCGTAAATATCGCTGACACATCAAAATTCGCGAGAGCATAATTTCGTCAATTTTCCATCAAATTTCATACTTTTTGCTTTATTACCTTCAGAAAAAGATTCTCTACCATTTCATAAGAAAAAATAACAATTTTTTTTTTTTTAAATTCTTGGACACTGGGGCACCACTTTAGATTTTGGCCTTGGACCCTGAAGGGGTTAATCCGTTCCTGAGAGCTCATCGAATACCGAAAATATCGAAAAGCGAATCAATTTTTCTCATAAGAAATAATGGAAATCAAATTAATCCGTGCAAGACACCCAAAAGTATGAAAAAAAAAAATTTACCACATGAAATATTAAGTTTAATGCAATAGAATAATTACAATAACAACAATAACAATAGAATAATTGACACTTACCTTTAATGAAGATCTGGTGATGATTGATGGGATGGGAGGAGGGGAGAGTGTGGATGGTGTTAGTGTTTAGAAGGGGAATCCCCTTCCATTAGGACTTGAACTGACAGCCTCACCATGCCACTACGATTCTTAAATCTTTCAAACCAACCTTTGCTGGCCTTAAATTCACTCACATCACCACTAGTTGCAGGCAATTTCTTTACCAAATCATCATGCAACTGCCTAGCCTTTTCACAAATGATCGCTTGAGAGATGCTATCTCTTGCTATCTGTTTTTCATTTATCAACACCAATAACAGTCTCTCAACATTTTCTAACACTTGCAGTCGCCGTTTCGTAATCACAGTTGCACCTTTTGCAAGAACAGCTTCCTTGATTGCCGTTTTCCTGGTCACTATAGTAGAGATGGTTGATTGGGGTTTACTATACAAATTGGCCAGCTCCGACACACGCACTCCACTTTCGTACTTTGCAATTATCTCTTTCTTCATTTCAATAGTCATTAGCACCTTTTTTCTCGAAGGGTTGGCACTAGAAGCTTTCTTGGGGCCCATGGTTACTTATTTTGCAGAAACAAGCACCAAAAACAGTGATAATATGGAATGTACCGAATGTATCCTTAGATGTGCGCACACTGGCTGGCTTGTAAACACTGGCACACATGGGCCAGTTCAGGCCACACGTGGACACATCTCGTACGAATTGTATCGAATACCGGGTTTTCGATCGGATACCGAGGCAAAATTTTTGCGATATAATGCATCGAATACCGGATTTATCGAATACCAATGCCATCGAATACCGGGGGTCCACTGTATTACTCTTGCTTTTCATTTGGAATTTTTATTCACAAAAAAAATAGAAGATTTACTGTTATGCAGACTGCTGCATTATTGTAATAATTGTATAAATAATGTCAAGCCATTCTTGACTCTGTACTGGAATTTAGACTGGCAGGCGGACAGGTATTGGACGGTGACGTCATTTGTTTACTCTTGAGCTTCGCTAAAGAATAGAACATTTTCGCTACTGTGAGTGCAATTTCAAGGTACTTTTCCTCATGAAAGCAATCAAAATCATATCTATTTCTGTAATATATCTTTCATTCTATCAAATGAGACCGAAAAAATGAGAATATAACCATAACAACCATGCAAAAATATACTGCTAAGAGGCCGCTAATGGCTGAGAAGTGAACTCTGCTATTTATGGTCTGATTTCTTTCATTTTTGGTGTACATGAAGAAGTATCTTTCCATTATACATTGCCCAAGTTTGAATAAGATAACCCAACAAACAACTGAGAAAATAATAATATAATAATAATAATAATAATAATAATAATAATAATAATAATAATAATAATAATAATAATATCTTTATTTACTACAAGTACATGCACAATGTATACAGGCCTAGCTGACATCAGTGACATACTACTATATAGAAAGCCGCTTGTTATGCAGAGTATTTCAAGAAAATTAGGTCAGTGTCCCAGGATAACACCCACACTAGTCAGCTAACACCCAGGTACCCATTTACTGATGGGTAAACATAGACAACAGGTGTAAAGAAACATGCCTAATGTTTCTACCCTGGCTGGGAATCGAATATTTACCAAAAATCATATATGGCTAACCCAAGCCAGGTACTAAAAATAAGTCACGTTGACTTTTTTTTGGGTTATCCTAGGTTCTCTACACATATGCTGCTATGTGATAATCTATAAAGAGAAAAATAGCTTTTTTGTTTCAGGTTTATGGTGCGGTAGGAGTGTATATCATAGTTAGCCCTGTGCTATACTCCGTTTTCTCTAATATAAGCCACCATGACAGGGATAGGAGAATGGTATTTGTTTACCATATCCTCTTCATACCTCCGTTGAACTGCTCGGTGTTATGCCAAATATTATTCATTCTGGAGTATTTAACATGTTTTATGTTATTTATATTGTTTCTTATGTCTTATTAGATCAATTGTGATAGGCAAATAAGCTGTAGTGTTGATATTAGAGTAATAATAAAGTATAAACCATACTCCGGCCGGGATTGAATCCGCGGTCAAAGAGTCTCAAAACTCCAGACCGTCGCGTTAGCCACTAGTGGCTAACGCGACGGTCTGGAGTTTTGAGACTCTGACCGTGGGTTCAATCCCGGCCGGAGAATGGTTTGTTTGCAATCGTGTCATTACGATTTCGTGAGTCAATAAAGTATATTCTTCTGCTTCATGAGACTGAGCTCATGGCAACCGACAGTGGCTTCAAAGCCACCTTATCTTTAATGGATAATGTACTGTGTAGGTGCTTTACATAATGAGAAGCATTTCTTTTATTCATTGGAACCATAGCTAGGGCTAAAAGTAAGCAGGTTATAACAATAAATGGAGAAAAATAAATTGGAATGACTTATGCAGCAAATAGCGCCACCAAACAGTACCAGCAGGTTGGTGTGGCGACCCTGGAAATTTGAAATTATGCTAGCCAAAATTAGTGCCGAATAACTGAAGGAACCGAATAACTGATTGCCGGATTTGTGATGGCGGACCTGTACTACCTCACACAAATATATTTTCAGACCTGCTTCCTATAATATATTAGTCCACTCCACCTCTTTCCATCCATTCCACATTTTTAACTCTTAATCCAAGTACCTTGCACTCTTCTACAAGAGTAAACAATGCAAAGCAGCCATCTTTCACTCTCAATTATATCAGTTATAGCACCAAAGCTTTCTAATTTATTGAATGATTATTTTCTGCATAATGACACCACCACCATTACTTCACACATACACTTGGATGTGTATACACTTGAGCATACATGTACATACACCTTTTTATACCACCACCAACATTTACCTGGAGTTTACCTGGAGAGAGTTCCGGGGGTCAACGCCCCCGCGGCCCGGTCTGTGACCAGGCCTCCTTAGGTCAGTGTCCCAGGATGCGACCCACACCAGTCGACTAACACCCAGGTACCCATTTTACTGATGGGGAACATAGACAACAGGTGGAAAGAAACACGTCCAATGTTTCTACTCTGGCTGGGAATCGAACCCAGGCCCTCACCGTGTGAAGCGAGAGCGTTAACCACCAGGCCACCAGAGCAACTACAGTGTAAATTGTAGATGCAAAGCTACTGAGGCCACCCAAGACACACAATACATATACTTACAAAGAAGAGTATTTTGTTGCGGGAGACGACTACAATAAACATCCCGGGAGGAGCAATGGGAGAGCCAATTGGAGGGTTTGTTAGGACCATTGTAGACTCCACTTCATTTGTTGAAAATTGTTTTAGATGTTGGAAACGAAATAAAACCCAACCCCATACACATTCAGTGCTCATTTGCAAAGGTACAGTCTCCCTATTTAACGTGTACTATTTTTAAAGACCCACTTGGCTTCGACCGCTTCTGACCAGTATGCATTTTAAGAATGTATATTAGAGTATTTCCTCTATTTGTTTTTTTTCAAATACGTCACTCAATTAAAAATTACATGCTGAAATGTTATAAATGGGGCAAAGGTGACATTAAAACACATAAAAGATAGTTACACAAACCATACCTACAGTACGCCTTCGCTTAACGACCAATTTTTTTTACTGACCTATGTAAGAACAAACTCCCCCGCTAAGTGAGGGTAAATAAAATAAAAGATTTCGTTCGGGTTTTTTAACCCCGGGGGTTAGCCACCCGGATAACCAAAAAGTCAGTGGTCATCGAGGGGCTGCTAAATTTTTCCATTGGGTCCTTAAATTTTTCCCCGGATGCGACCCACACATCGCTAACACCCGGTACCTATTTTTGTAGGTGAAAGGACAACAGGGGTAAGGAAAGGTTTAAAAGTTTTCACCGCCCGGAACGAAAACCCCGGGGCCCCCCGTGTGTGAAGTGGGAGCTTTAGCCACCAGGCCACCGGGCCACTGTATAATAATTATAACAATAAATAACACAGCCAATTATGAAATATTTTCATTCCTGGTATTCCAACTTTAAATAAAAAGTTTAATTCCTGGTAAATCAACTCACTTGTGAGTTTTAATCCTGGTACTTAACTAACAAACTGCATAAGCTGTAAAAATGTGTACCCTAGGATGATTATGGGTCATATATTCTCCTTCTGCAGCTCATGATTGTTAAAATACTGCTTTCCTAGCACCCTGTTTGAAGTGCAGGGATTTAAACCCGGGGTGTTAGTAAAAAATTGTGTAACCCGGGGGGTTAAACATGATGTGTAACCTGGGGTTTATAATGTTTTGTAACCTGGGGGTTTATAACATTATGTGTAAACCCGGGGGTTGGTAACATTATTGGGAACCGGGGTGTTTTTAACATTATGTTAAAACCCGGTGGAAAATAAAATGATGTTAACCTGGGGGGTTGTAAAAGTTGTGAACCTGGGGGTTAAATAACAATTTTGTGTAACCGGGGGGTTGGTAAATTAAGGGGTAAACCTGGGTTTGGAAAAAATTTTGTGTAACCGGGGGTTAGTAACTATGTGTAACCTGGGGTTTAGTAACGTTGTGTAACCGGGGGGTTTTTGTAACATTATTGGGAACCTGGGGGTTTAAAAACATGTGAAACCCTTTTGGGGTTAGTAACATTATGTGTAACCTGGGGTGTTTAGTAACATTAGTGAAAACCGGGGTGTTGGTAACATTTTGGGGTAACCTGGGGTGTTAGTTAAAAATTATTGTAACCTGGGGTGTTGGGAAAATTTTGTGTAAAAACCCGGGGGGGGGTAACATTAGTGAAACCTGGGGGGTTGTTTCCAAAATGGGGTAACCTGGGGTGTTAGAAAAATTTGTGTAACCTGGGGGTTTTGTAACATTTTTGTTAACCTGGGGGGGGTTGGGAACATGTTAACCGGGGGGTTGAACGTTTTTTTTAACCTGGGGAGTTAGTAACATTGTGGTAACCTTTTGTTAGTAACATTTGTGTAACCTGGGGTTTGGGGAACATTATGTGAAAACCCGGGGTGTTAGTAAAGTTTGTAAAACCCGGGGGGGTTATAACTTATGTGTAACCGGGGTGTTTGTAAAATTTTTTGTAACCTGGGGGTTAGTAACTAAGTGAACCTGGGGGTTAGTAAACCCTTAAAGTGGGAACCTGGGGGGTTAGTAAAAATTAAGGAACCTGGGGGGGTTTTTTTAATGTTGTTTTAAAACCCGGGGTTTTATTAAAATTATGGGGGGGGTAACCTGGGGGGTTGGTAACATTTGGGGTAACCTGGGGGTTATAACATTATGTTAACCTGGGGGGTTAGTTAAGGTTTTTGTAAACCGGGGGGTTGTAACCTAGGGGAACCTGGGGGGTTGGGAACATTTTGGGGGTAACCTGGGGTTGTAACAAATGGTAACCCGGTTTTAGTTTAATGGGTTTGTAACCTGGGGTTTTAGTAACAAAATTGTAACCCGGGGTTTTTTGGACCATTAAAGTGTAAACCCGGTGTGTTTTTAACCCCCAAGGTTAAAACCGGGGGGTTATAATTTTTTTTAACCTGGGGAAAAAAACAATTTTTGTAAACCGGGGTGTTGGTAACATTATGGAAAACCCGGGGGGTTTGAAAAATTTGTTAAAACCCGGGGTGTTAGTAAAGTTTTTGTAAACCGGGGTGGTTTTTTAAACATTTCTTTAAACCGGGGTTTGGTAAAAAAGGTCACCTGGGGGGTTTTTTGGGAAAAATTATGTGAACCTGTGTGTTTGAAAAGTTTTTGTAACCTTGGGGGTTTTTTAACCTTATGTTGGGAACCTGGGGGGTTTGGAAAAAATTTTGGAAACCCCGGGGGTTTGGGAACATTATGTTTTAACCGGGGGTTAGTAACATGAATGGGAAAACCTGGGGGGTTTGTAACGTTGTGTAAAAACCCGGGTGTTAGTAACATTAAAGTGTTTAAACCGGGGTGTTTGTAAACATGATTTTAACCTGGGGTTTAGAAACCCTTGTTTAAACCTGGGGGGTTTTTTGTAACATTAAGTTAACCTGGGGTGGGTTTGGGAACATTAGTTTAACCTGGGGGTTAGTAACAAAAGTGAAAAACCCGGGGTTTTGGAAAAAAAAATTAAGGGGTTAAAACCCGGGGTGTTGGGAACTTTTTGTTAACCTGGGGGTTGGGTACATTATGTGTAACCTGGGGTGTTAGTAACATTTTGTGTAACCTGGGGTGTTAGTAACAATTTTTTGGGAACCTGGGGTGTTTGTAACATGAAAGTGAAAGCTGGGGGGTTGGAAAAATTATGTGTAAACCGGGGGTTAGAAAAGTTGTGTAACCTGGGGGGTTTTGTAACAATTTTTGTAACCTGGGGTGTTAGTAACATGATGGTAACCTGGGTTTAGTAACGGGTTTTTAACCTGGGGAAATTTGTAACATTATGTGGGAACCGGGGGGTTAGTAACAAGATGTGTAAACTGGGGTGTTGGGAACAAATTTGGGACCCCCGGGTGTTTAGTAAAAGTTTTTTGTTTAACCCGGGGGGTTAGTAACATTATTGGGAACCGGGGTGTTTTGTAAACCCTTATGTGTAACCTTGGGGGGTTGAAAAATTATGTGAAAACCCGGGTGTTTTGTAAAAATTATGTGAAAACCCGGGGGGTTAGTAACATTATGTGTAAACCCCCGGGGGGTTGGGAACATGTTAAACCCGGGGGGTTTGTAACTTTTTTTGGGAAACCTGGGGTTTAGTAACCCTTAAAGTTCCTGGGGGGTTGTAACATTTTGGTTTTAAACCGGGGTGTTTGAAAAAATTTTGTGAAAAAAGGGGGGTTATAACATGATGTGTAACCTGGGGGGTTTTGTAATGTTTTTGTAACCCGGGGTGTTTAAACCTTTTTGTGTAACCCGGGGGGTTAAAAAACATTATGTTTTTAAACCCGGGGGTTAAACCCCCATTGAAAACCGGGTTTTTAGTAACATGATGGTTAAACCCGGGGGGGTTATAATGTTGTTAACCTGGGGTGGGAAGTAACATTATGTTTAACCTGGGGTGTTGGTAACCTTAAGTGTAACCTGGTGTTTGTAACATTATTTTGGGAAACTGTGTGTTAGAAAAATGATGTGTAACCTGGGGTGTTAGTAACCTTAAAGTGTAACCTGGGGTTTTGGAAACATGGTAAAACCCGGGGGGTTGGTAACATTATGGGGTTTTAACCCGGGGTGTTTAAAATTATGGTTAACCTGGGGTGTTAGTAACCGATGTGTAACCTGGGTGTTAAATAACGTTGTGTAAACCCGGGTGTTTGAAAAATTATTGTAACCTGGGTGGGTTGTAACATGATTTTAACCTGGGGGGTTAGTAACATTTTGTTAACCCCGGGTGTTAGTAACATTAAGTGAACCCCAGGGGGTTTGGGAAAAATTTTGTTAACCTGGGGGGTTAAAACCTTTTAAAGTGAACCTGGGGTGTTTTTGGGAAAAATTTTTGTAACCTGGGGTGTTGGGAACATTTTGTGTAACCTGGGGGGTTTGTAACATTAAATTTTAACCTGGGGGTAACATTATGTTGGTAACCTGGGGGGTTAGTAATTTTGGTAACCCGGGGGGTTAAATAACATGTGTAACCGGGGGGTTGGGAAAATTATGTTAACCGTTGTGTTAAATAAAAGTTTTGTAACCTGGGAGTTAGTAACCAAATTAGAGTAACCTGGGGGGTTTTGTAACAAATTTTTGAAAAATGGGGGGTTGGGAACATTATGTGTAACCTGGGGTGTTAAAAAACCCTTGTTTAAAACCCGGGTTGTTTGTAACATGTGTAAAACCCGGGGGGTTAGTAACCCCTTTTTTGGGAACCTGGGGGGTTTTAACATTATGTGTAACCTGGGGGGTTAGTCATTAAGTGTACCCCGGGGTTTTTAACATGATTTTGTCCTGGGGTTTTGTAAAGTTGTGTAACCTGGGGGGTTTGTAAAAATTATTGTAACCTGGGGTGTTTTTAACAATTTTTGTAACCTGGGGGGTTGGTAACAAAAAAAGTGTAACCTGGGTGTTAGTAACTTGGTAACCTGGGGAGTTAAATAACAAAAATTGTGTAAACCGGGGTGTTAAAACATTAAGTTAACCTTTGGGTTTTGGTTTAAAATTTTTGTAACCTGGGTGTTTTGGGAACGTTTTTGTAACCTGGGGTGTTAGTTTAAAATTATGTGAAACCCTGGGGTTTAGTAACATTATGTTTAAAACCCGGGGTGTTTTAACATTTGTGTAACCGGGGGTTATTTAAAATTGTGTCCGGGGTGTTATTTAAAATGATGTGAACCGGGGTGGGTTTGAAAAGTTGTGTAACCTGGGGTGTTTAAAATTATGTGAACCTGGGGGGTTGGGAAAAAATTAATTTAACCTGGGGTGTTAGTAAAATTTTTGTGTAACCTGGGTGTTTGTAAAATGAAGTGTAACCTGGGGTGGGTTTGTAATGTTGGTAACCCGGGGGTTGTAACATTAAAAGTTTTAACCTGGGGGGTTGGTAACATTATGTGTAACCTGGGGGGGGTTTGGGGGCATTAAAGTGTAAACCCGGGGTGTTAGTAACATTATGTTTTAACCGGGGGGTTTGTAACATGATGTGTAACCTGGGGGGTTAGTAACGTGTGTAACCTTTGGGGGTTAATAACATTAAAGTGTAACCTGGGTTTAGAAAAATGATGTTAACCTGGGGGTTAGTAACATTATGTGTAACCTGGGGTGTTGGTAACATTATGTGTAACCTGGGGTGTTAGTAACATGATGTGTAACCTGGGGTGTTAGTAACATTATGTGTAACCTGGGGTGTTAGTAACGTTGTGTAACCTGGGGTGTTAGTAACATGATGTGTAACCTGGGGTGTTAGTAACATTATGTGTAACCTGGGGTGTTAGTAACATGATGTGTAACCTGGGGTGTTAGTAACATGATGTGTAACCTGGGGTGTTAGTAACATTATGTGTAACCTGGGGTGTTAGTAACATCATGTGTAACCTGGGGTGTTAGTAAGATGTGTAACCTGGGGTGTTAGTAACATTATGTGTAACCTGGGGAGTTAGTAACATCATATGTAACCTGGCATGTTAGTAACATGATGTGTAACCTGGGGTGCTAGTAACATCATGTGTAACCTGGGGTGTTAGTAAGATGTGTAATCTGAGGTGTTAATATGATGTGCAACCTGGGGTGTTAGTAAGATGATGTGCAACCTGGGGTGTTAGTAAGATGATGTGTAACCTGGGGTGTTAGTAACATGATGTATAACCTGGGGTGTTAGTAAGATGATGTGTAACCTGGGGTGCTAGTAAGATGATGTGTAACCTGGGGTGTTAGTAACATGATGTGTAACCTGGGGTGTTAGTAACATGATGTGTAACCTGGGGTGTTAGTAACATTATGTATAACCTTGGGTGTAAGATGATGTGTAACCTGGGGTGTTAGTAACATCATGTATAACCTGGGGTGTTAGTAACATGATGTGTAACCTGGGGTGTTAGTAACATCATGTGTAACCTGGGGTGTTAGTAAGATGACATGCACATTCATATTTTCCTAACATGAAGCTAGTTTCTGAGATCAGTTAGACAGAAATGTTATAGCACTGATTATCATAAGTTTTACTGACATGAATTTAAACATGCTGGAACTGGTACAGTGATCCAGTACAGGAAGGCTTAAGTTAATTTTAAGCCAGCCCGTAATGCTATGCATAGTATAAGTTGCTTTGGCATACTGCTCTTATCTGTATTTTTTTGTACCTCTGTATGTGTGCACAAATTTATAATAAATAAATAAATAAATAAATAAATAAATAAATTATACAGCAGGTTAGGCTCTGGGCCCCACTTATACAGCAGGTTAGGCTCTGGGCCCCACTTATACAGCAGGTTAGGCTCCGGGTCCCACTTATACAGCAGGTTAGGCTCTGGGCCTCACTTGTACAGCAGGTTAGGCTCTGGGCCCCACTTATACAGCATGTTAGGCTCCTGGCCCCACTTATACAGCAGGTTAGGCTCCAGGCCCCACTTATACAGCAGGTTAGGCTCCGGGTCCCACTTATACAGCAGTTAGGCTCCGGGCCCCACTTATACAGCAGGTTAGGCTCCAGGCCCCACTTATACAACAGGTTAGGCTCCGGGCCCCACTTATACAGCAGGTTAGGCTCTGGGCCCCACTTATACAGCAGGTTAGCCTCCGGGCCCCACTTGTACAGCAGGTTAGGCTCTGGGCCCCACTTATACAGCAGGTTAGGCTCCAGGTCCCACTTATATAGCAGGTTAGGCTCCAGGCCCCACTTATACAGCAGGTTAGGCTCCAGGCCCCACTTATACAGCAGGTTAGGCTCCAGGCCCCACTTATACAGCAGGTTAGGCTCCAGGCCCCACTTATACAGCAGGTTAGGCTCTGGGCCCCACTTATACAGCAGGTTAGGCTCCAGGTCCCACTTATACAGCAGGTTAGGCTCCAGGTCCCACTTATACAGCAGGTTAGGCTCCAGGCCCCACTTATACAGCAGGTTAGGCTCCAGGTCCCACTTATACAGCAGGTTAGGCTCCAGGTCCCACTTATACAGCAGGTTAGGCTCCAGGTCCCACTTATACAGCAGGTTAGGCTCCAGGTCCCACTTATACAGCAGGTTAGGCTCCAGGTCCCACTTATACAGCAGGTTAGGCTCCAGGCCCCACTTATACATCAGGTTAGGCTCCAGGCCCCACTTATACAGCAGGTTAGGCTCCGGGCCCCACTTATACAGCAGGTTAGGCTCCGGGCTATTACTCTAAAGTGAAAATGACTGTAAAGCAAGTTTTTTTTAACTTTCAAATGCATATAAAAACCTGATAACATGTTTACACTGTCATATATTAAGTGAGCAAATACAGTACACATCACTAACCTTCAAATATTTTCATCCTTAGCTTATAGTGAGTGGTGAATATATTTATTGTAGAAAATGTGAATAAATGAAGAATGGATATAATTGAAAACCGGTGCATTAGCAAAATGGTGTACAGCGGGGGCCGCCTGTACCAACAAACTGTAGGTAAAAGATATGCAAGAACTGATCAAAACATTTCCTAAATCAACATTTCACCGTGAATGGCACCACAAGTCATAATTTTGAGTAGCTTGAGGTCGGGTAA